GTAATGCATTGTTTTGTGCCTTTGATCTTAGAAAATTTTATACTCAGGGAAAAACTGATCCATTTAAAAAAAATAGTTAAATTACCTTTAAAAGTAACCATTTATTGCATTTGTGGGATTTAAAGAAACAATGATGTTAAGGTACTCAGAACAATACTCAAAGATACTGAATTATGTTTTAAAGTAATTACATAATTTTTAATGCCAAAATTTATTTAACTGACCATGTTAAGAAGCATTAAAAATTATTATCAAAATGATGTGTGTTACCTGTTAATTCAATTGACATAGATGCAAAATAATGTAAAGATGATAGACTCAGGCCCCATTATTTTCTGGACATATCTTTTAAACAGGATTGACAAACAGATGATGTTCTTGTGGCCCTCTGATAGGGATACCATTCATTCTTTTCTGCTTCTGTAGCCATTTCTTGGGGAGAAGGAAATGGCAACCCACTCCAGTATTCTTGCCTAGAGAATCCGTGGACAGAGGAGCCTGGTGGGCTGCTGTCCATAGGGTCGCACAGAGTTGGATACAGCTGAAGCGATTTAGCATGCATGCATGCATTGCAGAAGGAAATGGCAATCCACTCCAGTATTCTTGCCTGGAGAATTCCAGGGATAGAGGGGCCTGGTGGGCTGCCGTCTATGGGGTCGCACAGAGTCGGACACGACCGAAGTGACTTAGCAGCAGCAGCAGCAGCCATTTCTTGAGCCTGTCTTGAGATATTATGTCTTTTTGGTAGCTTTTCATGATTCCCTTTGTTCTTCTCTTTGTTCTAGTGCTACTCTATATACATATATTTTATTATATGTATTTGCTTCTCAGACTGCCTTTAGGTATCCTTCAGTGAATTTCTATTATATGTTATATATGCATATATGTTAATGCGTATAGTTTCCTATAAGAAAGTGAAAGTGGCTCAGTCTTGTCCGACTCTGTGACTCCACAGACTATACAGTCTGTGGAATTCTCCAGGCCAGAATACTGAAGTGGATAGCCTTTCCTTTCTTCAGGGGATCTTCCCAATCCAGGGATCAAACCCAGGTCTCCTGCATTGCAGGTGGATTCTTTACCAGCTGAGCCACAGGGAAATCCAAGAATACTGGAGTGCATAGCCTATCCCTTCCCCAGCAGATCTTCTGACCCAGGAATCTAACCAGGGTCACCTGCATTGCAGGCAGATTCTTTACCAACTGAGCTATCAGGGAAGCCCTTCCTATAAGAAAATCATTCTTAATCCTTTAGGAAGTATGTACAAGTTGGACCACTTACCTGGTTGATTGTAGTTGCTGGCTTGTCAGCTGCTTGGGAATCACATCACAGGCCTTGATTAACTTTCTATAAAAGGAGGGTATGGACTAGGGACCCCTAAGCTCACCTGTATCTCTACAGTGTTGTCATAATATGATTCTAATCCATCACTATAAATGTATTATGAAATCATTAATTAATGTTTGCAGAAGGCTTAGAGAATTTTTTAATAAGATGTAGATACTTGTGGTTAGTGCTAATTAATAGATGAGTTAGTAACCTCTTTTTTTCTTTCCTTATAAATGGCAATCTGGTGAAATGTTTTGATGGCTTGATGAAATTTAGCTTTTAACACAAGCATCAGTATAGTACCTGTAGAAATGACCCTTGAACAAGGAGGGGTATTGGTTCCAGGACCCATGGTGGACCCTGAAGTCCCACAGTCAGCCCTCTGGATCCATGGTTCTGCATACACAGATTCAATTAACCCTGGATCTTGTACTACTGTAGTATTTATCAGAAAAAAAATCTGCCTATTAGTGGACCTGGGAAGTTCACACCAGATCAACTGTAGTTCAGGGGTCAACTGTAGTTGGAAAGAAAGAGAAGCAGCAGCAATGTATAGTTTTTATAATTTTTCAAAATAATTTCAAATATGATATCAAATTTTTAAGTCCTATAGCTTCTTTGTGAAGGAGGCAAAGACAAACACTCTCATACTCTAGGGAGGCTGAGACTTAGGGAGATTAAAGGATTATTAATTCCTTCATAAAAAGTATTGAGTGCTTATATATGGATATAATGATGAAATGATGAATAATTTACCCTACTTGGCTTTGAGAACAGGAGAGACAGATTTATAAACAAATATATTAGTTAAAAATACAGTTAATTATGGGCTTCCCTGATGGCTCAGATGGTAAATAATCTGCCTGAGGTGCAGGAAACCCAAATTCAAACCCTGGGTCGGGAAGATCCACTGGAGATGGGAATGGCAATCCACTCCAGTATTCTCGACTGGAGAATTCCATAGACAGAGGAGCCTGGCAGGCTACAGTCCATGGAGTTGCAAAGAGTTGGACATGACTGAGCTACTAACACACACACACACAGAGTTAGTTATGGCCGGCACACAGAAATGATATTTGTACCTCTGGGGTATTGTTTGGCAAGGCTCCATAGAAGGGGTGATTTTTAATGTATTCTCATTAAAGAGTGAATATAGACATTTGACAGAAAGGGAGCAGGGTGAAGAGAAGGTCCTTGTAATAAAAGGGAATGAACATAAGTAGAGACCCAGAGTTATGAAAGGACCTGGGTATTTGAAGAACAGGGTCCAGTTCAGTGTAGGTAGAATATTACTAATTATAATATAAATGTTATATAAGTTAAAAATTTCTAATAGCCATATTAAAAAGTAAAAAGAAATAGGTGAGATTAGTAATAATGTATTTAATCTAATATATCTGAAATATTTATGTTGTTTTCTCATACTTAAGTTTGAAGTAGTTGATTTTTTTTTCATTTATTTTTCTTAGTTGGAGGCTAATTGCTTTACAATATTGTAGTGGTTTTTGTCATGAATCAGCCATGGATTTACATGTATTCCCCATCCCGATCCCCCCTCCCAAGTAGCTGCTTTTAAAGACCAAATCAGGTATGTGTTTTACGTGTACAAAGCATCTCAATTTGGACTGGCCACACCTCAGGTGCTCAGTTTCTCAAAGCTCAGGGGCCTACATGTGTCAGTGCCTGTGAGAGAGAGAGGGAGAGAGAAGAAACGAGAATGGGAATGAAACCGTGTGCACTCTAGAGGGGCAGGCGGAGAGATGAGCTTGAAGTGGTTGTTGGAACCCTATTCTGAGAGGCCTTGTATGCTGTCTGTCTGAATCTGGAATTTATTCTTATAGTAGTTTATGACTGTGCTTCTCAAACTATCCTTCATGAAGGACCAGATTCTTAAATTTAGAATTTGTTTCAGACTGATACTTTTGCAAAATATAACAGTGAATTAGAAAAATACAATGAGTTATACAAAGAGAAGTACCATTTTTTGGTTACTAGATTTGACAAATACACTGTTGTTCTGTCAATTATCTGTAAAGGTGTCTGAGCTAGCGCTATTCAGTGGAACGTTCTCTGATGATAGAATGTTCTCGCTGAACTGCCCAATGCAATATCCACTAGTCGCATGTGGGTACTGAGCGTTTGAAATGCATCTAGTGTGACTGAGAAGCTGACTGTTTAATTTAATTTAATTGAAATTGTAATCACCACATTAGACTATTAGCTACTGTGTTGCACAGCACCAAGTGTGTTTACTCTGTTTATTTTTGGTTCCGCTCAGTCTTTGTTGCCGTTCTCTGACTTTCTCTAGTGGTGCCCGGGCTTCTCACTGTGGTGGCTTCTCTTGTTGCGGAGCACAGGGTCGAGGGTGCTTGGGCTTTAGTAGTTTCGGCATGCAGGCTCAGTAGTTGCAGCTGCTGGCTCTAGAGCACGGGCTTAGTAGCTGTTCAGTAGTCGTGGTCCATGGGCTCAGTTCCCCCGCGGCACGTGGGATGTTCTCCGACCAGGGATAGAACCCATGCCTCCTGCATTCCAAGGTGGATCCTTACTCACTGGACCACCAGGGAAGCCATGAATATGTTTATTCTTAATCTTTGTATTTATATGTTGTGGAAAAACAGCTGTGGACTGAGATTGGTCCACAAACCATACTTGGAGTAGCACCATGTACATCATCGTCTCTAGAGCTAGAAAGCCTTTGTGTGTCTTTGGAAAGTTACTTAATCTCTCACTATCCCAGGATCCTCAATTCTAATATGAAGGTAATAGTAAGAAACTGTCTCAGAGAGTTGTCATGAGGATTAAAGGATGTGGAGGGGATAGGGTTAGGGAGAGGATCAAGAAAAGATAACGTGAAAGGGCCTCAAAGGATGAGTTCCATAGGCCTTTCAGGTAGAGGGAACTCTGAAATGGATTTGGATCATACTCTGTTTAGAAGAAGGGCTTTCCAGGTGGAGCTAGTGGTAAAGAATCTGCCTGCCAATGCAGGAGATGCAAGAGATGTGGGTTCGATCCCTGGGTCAGAAAGATCCCCTGGAGAAGCGAATGGCAACCCACTCCAATCCCATAGACAGAGGAGCCTGGAGGGGGCGGTGGGGGGCTACAGTCCATGGCGTTGCAAAGAGCTGGACACAACTGAGCACTATACTGTTCAGAAAAAGGAGTAGCAGATAACACTGCCCGAGCCCTGTCACTGGGTTTCCCTGCTGGCTCAGCTGGTGAAGAATCTGCCTGTGATGCAGGAAGATCGCCTGGAGGGGGGCATGGCAACCTATTCCAGTATTCTCGCCTAGAGAATCCCATGGACAGAGGAGCCTGCCAAGCTGCAGTTCATGGGGTCACAAAGAGTCAGACATGATTAAGCACAGCACGGCACATCCCTATCACTGTTACCGCTATTTCTTCCTCTCTTTCCTAATTATCTTCTTATTATAATCTTTTGGCGTATTTTAAACTGATTTCTAGGCAATATGTGAATTTGTGGTTTTAGTAAATGCTACGCTATCAATAAGGACAGCTGCTGTCTCTTTCCTTCATTCCTGGGAGTTATGAATTTGGTGGGAGACTGGGTACCAGTTGAGAAGGGAAGGGGAATCCTATTTGAAAAGCAGTCCCTGGGTTATGGGCAGGTAGTTGTGAGATTCTTTTCTCCTAACGTGTATTTCTTCCTTACACAGATGATTTTAGGAAGAAAACTGACTGGAAAAACAATGAAGTTTCTTCTCTTGATATTTGTTGGTGTTGTTCACCTTTTACCCCTGGCCTCTGGGAAAGCTATACATGGGAATGGCACCTCTCAGAGGACTTTTCAGGAAATCAAAGAAGAAATAGCCCACTATGGAGATGTTGCTAAAGCAATCATCAACTTTACTGTTTATGGTAAAGGCCAGAACAGATCCTATGAGCGACTGGCACTTCTGGTTGATACTGTTGGACCCAGACTAAGTGGCTCCAAGAGCCTAGAAAAGGCCATCGAGATCATGCAGCAAAACCTGCAGGGAGATGGGCTGGAGAACGTCCACCTGGAGCCTGTCAAAATACCCCACTGGGAAAGGGGAGAGGAATCTGCTGTGATGCTGGAGCCAAGGATTCATAAGATGGCTATTTTGGGTCTTGGCAGCAGCATTGGAACACCCCCAGAAGGTATGATTTGCTTTTTCAAGTCAGTTTGCTGTTTTCATTATAAAACTAATGCCATGTGACGTAATTGATTATAGTGTGCCTGGTTCACATTATAATTGGGTGATAAAAAGAAAAAATCATTTTCCATTTCATTGGCTTCATGAGCTCTTTACTCATACTCTTTTTTTCCCCTTCCCTTTTCCCCCTCTCTTTTCTGAAAGTGTTACTTTTTAAAATGAAGCATCTACAACTATTGGTCCATGATATTTATGAACTGAATCACTTAATAATTTCTATCTAGTATAACATTAGTATCATTTTGTAGAGAATGTGATATATGTAAATAGGTCACAAAAGCTATGATTTCTTTTAAGTGGCCTCAGTGAACAGAACTTCTTAGAATTAATGAAATAGAGGACAGAGCCTTGCACATTGAATTGATTTGAAGTAATTATTTTAACAGAACCCAAGGCCTCTAGTGTAAGGAGTTGTCTAGGATGGAGTTCTGTCTTTACTCAGCAGCACTCAGTCTCAGCTTCATCAGACATCAACAGTGAGCCATTGATCAGTAATGGACTGTTCATGTACTATGCATGTATTCATGGACTGTTTTCCTATGACACAGTAACTATAGTAGAGTTGGTGCACCAACCCTCCACACAGTTAAAAATCTGCATAGAACTTATAGTCATCCCTCCATATATATGGTTTGGTTCTTCTGTATCCATGAGTTTCTGCATTTGCATATTCAACCAACTATAGATCATATAGTACTGTTGTATTTACTATTGAAAAAAATCTACATATAAGTGGACCTGTGCAGTTAAAACCTGTGTTGTTCAAGGGTTAGCTGTAGTTGATTAAAAAAAAAACAAAAAAAAAAACCCAAACAAACAGTTGAGCTTTTCTAAAAACTTTATAGGGACCTTTGACCTTCTCTAATGCCAAGAGAAACATCCAGTAGAGAAGCAGATAGTTAGCTTTTAAAAAGCATCTTCAGTGAGATATCGGGACTTCCCTAGTGGTCCAGTGGTTAAGACCCCCCATTTCTACTGCAGAGAGCACAGGTTTGATCCCTGGATGGGGAGCTAAGATCCTGCATGCCACTGGGCACAGCCAAAAAAGAAATCTTTATTGAGATATAGTTCCCATATCATAATTACTCACCCATTTACACTTTAGTGGTTTTTAATATATGCACAGAACTAGCACAATCTTAACTGAAGAACATTTCATCACCCCCTGAAGAAACTTTAAACTCATCAGCAGTCATGCTTCATGACTTTCCTACCTTTCCTACCTACCACCATCCTAAGCCCCAGGCAACCACTAATTTATTTCCTGTCTTTATGGATTTGCCTTTTCTGGATAATTCACATGAATGAAATAATACACTAGTATTTCCTTTTGTGACTGAATTTTTTCACGTAGCATGCATTTCAGGTTCATCCATGTTGTAGCATGTACCGATACTTAATTCATTTTTATTGTTGAAAAATTTTCCATTTTATAGACATACCATATTTTATTTATCCACAGATCAACTGATGAACATTTTTTCCCACCTTTCAGCTATTAAGAATAATGCTATAAACATTCATGTGTAAGTTTTTTGTACGTACTTTATTTCTCTTGAGTATATACCAAAGAGTGAAATTGCTTGTGGATATCATAACTCTCTGTTTAACTTTCAGAGGAACTGCCCAGCTGTTTTCCAAATTGACCGCGCCATCTTACATTTCACTCATGTGTTCTAACTTTTATACATATGTGTCAGAACTCATTTTCTGTCTTTTTGGTCACAGTGGGTATGAAGTGATATTCATTGTGGTTTCTATTTGCACTTCTCTAACGGCTAATGATTTTGAGCACCTTTCCATGTTCCTGTTGCCATTTGTGTATCTTTTTCAGAGAAATACATATTTGAAGCCTTTGTCCAGTTTTTCTAAGTTACTTATTTATATTGACTGTGCTGGGTTTTGTTACTGTGTGTGGGCTTTCATTAGTTGCAGCGAGTGGGGACTACTCTCTGGCTGCAGTGCATGGGCATCTCATTGCAGTGCCTTCTCTTATTACTGAGCATGGACTCTAGGCACACGGGCTCAGCAGTTGTGGCCGTGGGCTTATAGAATGTAGCCCTTTGGCATGTGGGATCTTCTCTTTGGCATGTGGAATCTTCTCTTTGGCATGTGGGATCTTCTCTTTGGCATGTGGGATCTTCTCTTTGGCACGTGGGATCTTCTCTTTGGCATGTGGAATCTTCTCTTTGGCATGTGGGATCTTCTCTTTGGCACGTGGGATCTTCTCTTTGGCACGTGGGATCTTCTCTTTGGCACGTGGGATCTTCTCTTTGGCATGTGGGATCTTCCCGGATCAGGGATTGAACCCATGTCCCCTGCATTGGCAGGTGTGTTCTCAACCACTGCACCACCAGGGAAATCACTTTGCCCAGTTTTTAATTGTGCTAATTGACTTTTTATTATTGAATTGCATAAGCTCTTCATGTATTCTGGATGCAAGTCTCTTATCAGTGTGATTTACTAATGTTCTTTCGCATTCTATGGATTGTTTTTGTGTGCATGTGTTTTTTTTAAACTTTCCTGATGGTAGTATTTCCTGCAGAAATGTCTTTAATTCTGAATTAGCACAATTTCTCTAATTGTCTTCTGTTGTTTGTACTTTTACTGTTATGTTTAAGAAACCATTGCCTAAACCAGGTCACAAAGATTTATTCCTGTTTTATTCCTAGTTTTATTTATTCTTCTAAGGGTTCTATAACTTTTGCTCTTACATTTAGGTTTGTGAGTTAAGTTTAGATGTGAGGTAGGAGTCCAACTTTGTTCTTTTGCTGTGGTTATTCATTTGTCTTAGCATTATCTGTTGAAGAGACTATTTTTTCCCCATTGAATTGGATGCATTTCATTTATTGATTTTCAGATGTTAAACCAACCTTACATTCCGGAGTTAAATCCCACTTGGCTATGGTGTAGGAAGCCTGGTGTGCTGCAGTCCATGGGGTCTCAAAGACTCAGACATGACTGAGCGGCTGGACAATAGCTCGTTACCCTGCTGTGTCCAACGTCTGTTCTCTAGGTCTGTGTCTCTATTCTTCCCGCAAATTCACTGGGTTCTTTTTTAAATTTATTTATTTTTAATTGAAGGATAATCACTTTACAATATCGTGTTGGTTTCTGCCATACATCAACATGAATCAGCCGTAGACATGCATATGTCCCCTCTCTTCCACCTACCACCCCATCCCACCCCTCTAGATTATCTCAGAGTACCAGTTTGAGCTCCCTGATTCATAGAGTTAATTTTCACTGGCTATATATTTTTCTATTTTATATATAGTGGTGTATATATTCGCTCTCATCAGATTCTTGAATCACAGTTTTTTATTACTTCTGACACTTTGAATTTGTCATTTCATTGTCTTCTGGCCTCCATTGTTTCTGATGAGAAGTTAGCTGTTCACATTACTGCAATTCCCTTATACAGACATACCTTGGAGATACTGTGGTTTGGTTCCAGACTTCTGCAATAAAGTGAATATTGCAAGAAAGTGAGTCACATGATTTTTTTTGTTTGTTTCCTACTACATGTAAAAGTTATTTTTATACTATACTATTAGTCTATTAAGTGGGTAATCTCAGTGTGTCTAAAAAATGTACATGCCTTAATTAAAAAATAATGCTGTTGGGAAAATGGCACCAATGGACTTGCTCAACACAGGATTGCCATAAACCTTCAATTTGTTAAAAGGAAAAGCACAGTAACCGTGAAGGACAGTAAAATGAGGAGATTGCCATAAACCTTCAGTTTGTTAAAAGGAAAAACACAGTAACCGTGAAGGACAGTAAAATGAGGTATGCTTCTATGTGACCAGTCATTTTGCTATTACTGATTTCAAGAGTTTTATCTTTGTTTCCAGTTTTCAGTGTTTTGATTTTGATGTATCTAGGTGGGAATCTCTTTCCTTTTATCTTGATTAGAGGTTGTTGAACTTCATTTATAGATTAATATTTTTCATCAATTTGGGAAATTTTCAACACTTTTTTTCTATAAATATATTTTCTACCCTCTTTTTGCTCTTTTCTCCTTCTGACTTCAGTTATAAGTATGTTGCTGCACTTAATGGTGTCCCACACTTCTCTGAGGCTCTGCCCGTTTTCTTCCTCTCTTTCCCCCTCTCTCTCTCTTCTTCAGATTGCATAATCTGTATCAATCTATCACTAAATTCATTAATTCTTTCTTCTGATAACTTGAATATACTACTGAGTCCCTCTACTGATTTTTTTCTTTTTGTTATTTTACTTTTCAGCTCCACAGTTTCCTTTTGGTCTTTTCTCTCATTTCTGTCTTTTGATTGGTATTCTCCATTTGACGGAACATTGTCATCATACCTTCCTTTAATTCTTTAAGTATGGTTTCCTTTAGTTCCTTGAGCATATTTATAATAGCTGCTTTGAAGTCTATGTCTGCGACAACTTGACCCCCTCCAGGCAATTTCTCTTGCCTGCTTTTTTGTGTGTGTATTGGTCACACTTGCCTATTTCTTTTCATGTCCCGTTTATTTTTGTTGTTGTTTAAAACTGATTTTTAAATAATGTATTTTAGCAATTCTGAATACTGATTGTTGTCCCTTCTCCACTGCCCACTGGAGGTTGATGTTGTTTTTATTGTTTTGTCCTTTATTTGCTTAATGAGTTAATTTTACTAACTTTGTGAAGTCTCTTTCTCCCATAGTGTGCAGATTCTGACGTCCCTATTCACAGTGCTTTTATTTTTCCTTTAGTCTGGCTCTCTAGCTGTCATCCTGAGGTCTGTACAAGCCATTTACTGGCCAAAGGTTGTGCTTAGGTCCCCTTAGCCAGTTATATCTTTACCCTTTATTGTTGGATGTTTATGTTGTTTAAGGGCTGTTATTAAAATTAATGAATTTATGTTTTTGCCCCAGGTTCAGTCAGGGCCTAGTGGCTTGAACATCCCTTCTCCAATCAGTCTTGAGAGGTCACAGC